TATTTTCCATAATGTAATGATAAAAATGAAACTTTCATATATTTCAGGTTCTCTAAACAAGCTATTAACCTAACCATCTGAATCAACGACGTAACGCTAAACACTTGCAAAAGATTCCTGAGGCTTTTAAAAACTCCCAGCCTTGTTCATTACTCAAAACAGCAATCATGGGTAAGACTGCCGACTTGACTGCTGTCCAGAAGGCCATCATTGACACCCTCAAGCAAGAGGGTAAGACACAGAAAGAAATTGCTGAACGAATAGGCTGTTCCCAGAGTGCTGTATCAAGGCACCTCAGTGGGAAGTCTGTGGGAAGGGAAAAGTGTGGCAGAAAACGCTGCACAACGAAAAGAGATGACCGGACCCTGAGGAGGATTGTGGAGAAGGGCCGATTCCTGACCTTGGGGGACCTGCGGAAGCAGTGGACTGAGTCTGGAGTAGAAACATCCAGAGTCACCATGCACAGGCATGTGCAGGAAATGGGCTACAGGTGCCGCATTCCCCAGGTCAAGCCACTTTTGAACCAGAAACAGCGGCAGAAGCGTCTGACCTGGGCTACAGAGAAGCAGCACTGGACTGTTGCTCAGTGGTCCAAAGTACTTTTTTCGGATGAAAGCAAATTTTGCATGTCATTCGGAAATCAAGGTGCCAGAGTCTGGAGGAAGACTGGGGAGAAGGAAATGCCAAAATGCCAGAAGTCCAGTGTGAAGTACCCACAGTCAGTGATGGTCTGGGGTGCCATGTCAGCTGCTGGTGTTGGTCCACTGTATTTTATCAAGGGCAGGGTCAATGCAGCTAGCTATCAGGAGATTTTGGAGCACTTCATGCTTCCATCTGCTGAAAAGCTTTATGGAAATGAAGATTTCATTTTTCAGCACGACCTGGCACCTGCTCACAGTGCCAAAACCACTGGTAAATGGTTTACTGACCATGGTATTACTGTGCTCAATTGGCCTGCCAACTCTCCTGACCTGAACCCCATAGAGAACCTGTGGGATATTGTGAAGAGAAAGTTGAGAGACGCAAGACCCAACACTCTGGATGAGCTCATCCAGCCTTAAGCTAAGGCCGCTATCGAAGCATCCTGGGCCTCCATAACACCTCAGCAGTGCCACAGGCTGATTGCCTCCATGCCACGCCGCATTGAAGCAGTCATTCATGCAAAAGGATTCCCGACCAAGTATTGAGTGCATAACTGAACATGATTATTTGAAGGTTGGTGTTTTTTGTATTAAAAACACTTGTCTTTCATTGGTGGGATGAAATATGCTAATTTGTTGGGACAGGCATTTTGGGTTTTCATGAGCTGCATGCCATAATCATCAGTATTAAAACAATTAAAGACCTGAAATATTTCAGTTGGTGTGCAATGAATCTGAAATATATGAAAGTTTCATTTTTATCATTACATTATGGAAAATAATGACCTTTATCACAATATGCTAATTTTTGAGAAGGACCTGTATATATATATATATTATTATTATTATTAGTTTATTTTTTTCAAGTGTTTAAAATCCTTCTCACAATCTTGCAATATACTAAACAATGTTTCTAAACTCTAAATGCTCTAAAAGAGCACAGAATGTCATGATCTCCTTTCTCTGCCACCTGCCAGCACTCTTGGCCACGCTCACTTCGAGATCCATAGCGGCGATCATGACACGCTGCAGGACGGAGTTTCTCCTGCAGCTGTGGACTGCACACAGGTGCAGCAGGTGCTAAATCATTTAAAATAATTTATTTTAAATAAAAAATCTGATGCCAATCATGCAGCTCATCCATTAATCAACCAATTGTATGTCATGTTCAATCTTATTTTGAAAAACCGCGATAGAGCGAGTCCACAAAAAATGAACCATGAAGTAGGAAGAGTCTACTCTATTATTATTTCAAGTTCATTCATTCAACCTTTATTTAGACAGGCAAATCCCATTGATCCTCGAGGACTCATTTACAAGAGAGACCTGATTTCAACAAAGAATGATGACAACAATGGACAACAGCAACAACAATAAACAGTTATAAAGAGGCATACCGATATTTTTTTTTTTTTTTTTTTTACAAATAAGATGCAAGCTCAGTTTTTGGGGGAGTTGTGGTGCAGAAGTTAGAGAAAGGATTGTGATCAGGAGGTCGTCAATTTGATCCCCCCAACTGATAACATCAGAAAAGCTGATGCATTGCTGATGCATTGTGGGAACGGTGAAATACCCACACCTGCCACCACCTCATTTGCTCTTCTGGGCCCTTGAGCAAAGCCCTTAACACCACCATCTGCACCCCCAGGTGCTGTAAATGGCAGCTCTCTGCTCCACAAAGAGGGCTTTGGTAGCTCAGTGGTCTGTGATTGTCAGGAAAGACATCCGGTATAAAAGTTCGCTGTGGTGACCCCTGAAGAAGGGAGCAGCTGAAAGAAGAAAAAAAAAAAAAAAAAATCAAGTTTGATTTTTAACCTGGAGCTTCTTTTTTCCTTAAATCAACTAAAATTAGTCAAACTGTTGCTGTTACAGAGCCAAGGTCAATTATTGTGTTTCTTGCTATAGACAGATTTTTGGAACCAAATTTTTAATTTTTTATAAAATATGTATTAATATTTAATGAGAAATAAAATTAATAATGTTGGTCATGTGTTTCATACCAAAGATAAAACTAAAACAAATGTGTCGCTGTCATAAAGCACAAAGGTGTTTGTTTGTGTAATTGGAAAGTCGCCAAAAAGTTTGAAAATAATTTTTATTTTTTATTTTATTTGAGTGCCCAAAACAGTTTTAAAGTGGAGGTAGGTTAGTATCTTGTGGCAATGGATAGGCTGACAGACAAGGTCAAACAGGGGTCCAGATGGACTATCATGTCCCCCAGACATCTTTAGTGGGAGTAGGGAGCAGGTGGAAGAGAGCCGGAAGAGGTGGAGGTCTGCTCTGTGGGAGAAAATGAATGAAAGTCAGTAGAAGAAAGACAGAATATAGAATGAGAGAGAGACAGGTGGGACAGTGGAGGGACTGAAGGTGGATGAGTCCAAACGCTGGGGGGTCAACCACTGCACCCTCAGATTTTCACGTCCCCCTTATAAATGTGATCTTGATCTTAACAGGTTTTAATCTAGTTGGATTTAAAAAAAGAAAATATTCAGAGTTTAATATTCATTTTACATGAAGGTTTAGTCTTTGAGTGTTCCATCATTTATAATCCTCATTAATTAATTTGTATATTTCTTGATGCTTCCAGACAACAACCGGGTCATGGGTCAGTACACGGATCAGGTGGAGGAGCAACACGCCTACATAAAGGAGACGGTGGACACCGTGTTCCCATCAAACATCAGAGTTCTGCAGGTAAAACATGAGCCGACAACAAAACAATGCTGTAGCCACAAATAGCTAAATACAAACGAGACAAAATGCATCTTCTGTGAAATGTAGCTCGAATGCTGAGTGCTGAAGGACTTTGTTGAAGAAGTTAAAACTGGGTTATTAAAGCAGAACAAAGCAAAAATATTAGCTAGAAGTTGCAAAATCATAGCTAGAATCTGAAAGTACCAAAAAGTTAGGTGTGTTAAAAATAGTAAAAGGTCAGCTAAAAATAGCTAATGGTTAGCTTAAAACTAAAAGTAGCAAAAACCAAGTAAAATAACAGAAGCCTAGCTTAAAGCCAAAGTAACAACCTGCTAACTAAAAGTTCCCAAAAGCTACCTAGAAGCAAAAAGGAACAAAAAGCTACAACACAAAAAGTAGCAACACACTAGCTAAAAGCAAAAGTTGTAAAACATAGTGAAACGCTAAATGTGTCATAAAGCTATGTAGAAGCTAAAAGTAGCAGAAAGGTAGTGAAAATTAGCAAAAGGTAAGCTAAAAAAAAGGCTAGCATAAAGGTAAAGTAGCACATGGCTAGTTAAAAGTATCCAAAAGCTAGCTAGATGCTAAAAGTACCAAAATTCTAACTACAAACAAAATGTATCAAAAGTCTCTAGAAGCTACAAGTAGCTAATGATATCTAAAAGTAGCAAAAGGCTAGCTGAAACTTAAACTTATCAAAAAATATGGCCAAACAGAACAACAGTAAATAAATATAACTTGCTAAAGTAGAGCTAACATAAAACAAACAAACAAACATCTAAAAGTAGCAATAGAAGAAAAAACAGCCGGTAGCTGAAGCAAATATCAAAGAGAATAATGATTTCAAAGGAATTGAAGATATTTTTATGTATTTTTACAGGGAAAATGTTTGTACATAAAATTAAATATGTTGAAAAGTATAATAAGTACAATAACTTAAGGTCATTTAACTCATCTCCTGCACGAGCTGGACGATTTGATAAAGAACAGCGAATGTGGCACAAAGTCTACAGAAGCAGTTAGATTAAAAAAACGTACAGAAAAAAAAAAAAAAACAGGAAAACAACAGTTAATGATGATTCAGCATCCACACAATCCAAACATCACTGCAGTTTATAAAATGTTATGTTTTCAGGGGGTTCTAGACAAGATCAAGCTGAAAATCCAGAAACTGGAGAAGGCAATTCAAGCCCAGAAGGCCCAATGCAAGGACCCGTGTATAACCAAGTGTCCAATCCCAGTGGTGTCTGGTGAGTGGAGGTGCCAAGATTTACACACTGATTAGGATATACAGAGCTTCGGCTGCCATGTTTGTCCCTTAACAAGAATGGGTTCCATAAACTGTGCAGTAAATTAATTTAGCTAATTTAGTGGAATTGTTGTCAACTGTAATTACTGAATGGACCAAAGAATGGATTGTCCAATCCATGTTGCGCTCTGCAGGAGCCACTGAGACATCAGAATATGGACTGTTGACCTCAGAGTGTAATAAATAACTTGAAGCTGTAAAGTCCAGCAGATGAGATTATGACAAGATTTATGACAACATTTACACATTAATGTTTGCTGTGCCTTCTTGGTAACTCTAGGCAAAGAGTGTGAGGACATCTACCGGCGGGGAGGACGGGACTCCCAGATGTACCTCATCCAATCTGACTCCTTCAGCCGTCCGTACAAAGCCTTCTGCGATCAGACCACTCAGAATGGCGGTATGAATACTCCACTTGTGCAATATTTTTTTCTATCCTGAATTTCTTAGCCTGTGTCTTTGAGTTCTTCTGTTCTTTTTCCAGGTTGGCTTCTCATCCAGAACAGACTTGATGGCAGCGTAGACTTCGGCCGGCGTTGGGACGAGTATCGCCGTGGCTTTGGCAACATCGCTTTCAGTTCTGAAAAGGGTTTCTGTGAGATTCCAGGTAGGTCATTAAACAACTATTACTTTTATACTTCAGCTGTAATCGGTGGAAGACTCACCCTTCTTCTTTGTCATGTGACAGGTGAGTACTGGCTGGGAAATCAACGCATCAGTCAGCTAACTAAGATGGGCCCCACCGAGGTTCTTATTGAGATGCAGGACTGGACAGGGGCCAAGGTGACACTTCAAGGTTTCTACCTAAACCAAAAGTTATGGCATTTAATTAGACAAGAACAGTTTTAGAAGCTCAAGCTTCAGGAAATTGCAGTTCCTAAGTTGATAAAAGTTTGGCTTTTATAATTTTAGTCTTCAAAGGTTACTTTATAATGAAACTGCTACCATCATCTTTAGTTTTATTTCAGATAATTTTTTTTTACATTTAAACACAACTGTAAAACTATCAAGTACAAAAACTTTTGTTATTACCTTCTTAAGTCCTTTTTTGTGTGAGGTCCCCCAAGGTTCCATTCTGGTTCTAGTACTTATTGTCATGCACCTGATTAATTTTATTATTCTAGACTAAATCAAACTTATTTTGGGGTTGAAAATATCCTAAACTATATTCCCAAAAAAACAAACTATCAAAACCTACAACCTCTGAAATAGTTGCAGATCTGGCTTGATCTATAATTGTGGAAGGTGCTAAATGTCCTCTTTGAAAAAAAAAAAAAAATGTTTTTTTTTTATTTTTAACCTTCACTCTTTTCAAAGTAGTAATCTTGGGCCTGAAGAAAAAAATTGTTTTTTTGATCGATTGTTTCTTTGTGGGGCGGCATGGTGGCTGAGTTGGTAGAGCTGTTGCCCCTCAGTGAGCAGGTCATCAGTTCAAATCCTGGCCTGGGACCTTTCTGGGTGCAGTTTGCATGTTCTCTCTGTGCATGTGTGGGTTTTCTCTTGGTACGCCAGTTTTCTCCTGTGGGTCTGTTGTTAGAAGAAGATAATTATAGTTCTGAACCACTGTAAATTATTACCACTATCACAAAATTTACCACCAAGAATTTTTGCCATTACATCTTAGGATAAAAGCTGAAAATGTACCTTTCAATACATGTAGGTACATGCCCAATACCGCCAGTTCACCATCCAGTCAGAGACGACTAATTATGTGATGGCCGTTGACGGTTACTCTGGCAACGCTGGCAACTGTTTCCTGGAAGGAGCTCTGGAGCTTTTTGGTGTAAACCGTACCATGACCATACACAACGGCATGATGTTTAGCACGTATGACAGAGACAACGACAACTGGTAGGTGGCTTGAGAAGTGTTAAGTAGCTTAAACATGATACTGAACAACCAAAAAGATAATCCAAATGCTAAAGTATTGGGTTCATTGTTATGGTTAAAGTACCTTCAAACAATGAGCAATTATTTTAATACAAAATGGTTATGGAATATTTTGCAGTTATAGATATCATCTCATGCTTTCTATCCATGTGTGTGTCCTACAGGAACCCTGGTGACCCCTCTAAACAGTGCTCCAGGGAGGACGGCGGTGGCTGGTGGTACAATCGCTGCCACTCAGCCAATCCAAATGGGCGGTACTATATGGGCGGCAGCTACACGCCACAGATGGCGAAGCATGGCACGGATGATGGCGTGGTGTGGATGAACTGGAAGGGGAGCTGGTACTCACTCAAGGCCATCAGCATGAAAATCAGGCCTTACATCGCCTCCAGATAATTGTGTTGAAGGGTCGACATGCACAACGCAAACAGGAAACTGTCAAAATAAAAAACAAACCAAATAAAATGTCATCAAATCCTGTTTGTCGATGGACACAAGCATGTTTAGACGTAATTAACACCGTTTGAACAAAAAAGGTAATAAAAAGTTTAATTCAGTTTCATACTTAATAAAATACCATGAAAAGTTGAGCTGTGAATAATTCTGTTGTGATTCATCTTGTGGGCGACCTCAGCGCATCATCAGGAACAGTTAATGAAATTGTTCTCAGATACTCAATAAAAACATTGAGGAACTTTATTGTTTGGTTCATCATTTTTATCCTAAAGGCAACATCTTTGCAAGTTAAACAATTCACGTTAATAAAAGGTTAAATAATTTCATCTGTACCAGTTTTTTTCATTCATTCAACCTTTATTTAGACAGATAAGTCACATTGAGCCTAGAAGACTCATTTACAAGTGAGATCTGTTTAGACAAAAAGTAGTGAAACTGGACACATGTAGGAATTAGAGGCGAAAAAATTCCTATCAGATTTTTTTTCCTTGCCTGCGAAGAAAAAACTCTTGAGATTGAAAAACACCTCGAACAAACAAGCACATAGTGACGTAGACGTTCCGCAGAGGGGGGAGATGACGAGAACGGTGAGCAATGTTCATAGATGCTCTCGAGGGAAATGTAAGAGTTCTGGTAAGGATGAAGTAATCAGCCAGTGTCCTTCGGTGAGATCCGTAAACATTCTCGAGGTATGTCGAGGAATGGCCAGGAATAACGACTATGAGAATCCAAGAGTCCTAAAATGATGACAAAGTTTATTCAGCTGGTTTCATCTGGTTATCAGTAGGAAATTCCTCAGGGAGGGGATGGTGAGCGTCAGATCACATGTTCTCCAGGCGAATTCAGATAAGATGGCCTTGAAGGCCAGCCAAGGGAGCCAAATTCAGATAAACACAGATATTTTGGGGACAGGCAGAACTTAATGACATCTACCTTGAGTCTGTGTTGGTCCACCCAGTTCCAAAATGCTCAAATTACGTGGCCACAACGATGGAACGTCCATCCATCCATCCATCCATTAGCTTTACCCGCTTATTCCATTTTGGGTCACGGGGGTCGCTGGTGCCCATGTCCAGCAATCACTGTGCGAGGGGCGGGGGACACCCTGGACAGGTCTCCAGTCCATCACAGGGACACATAGAGACAAACGAGACAAACAACCATTCACTCTCTCACTCACACCTAGGGACAATTTAGAGTTACCAATCAGCCTAACATGCATGTTTTTGGTCTGTGGGAGGAAACTGGAGTACCCGGAGAAAACCCACGCATGCACGGAGAGAACATGCAAACTCCACCCAGAAAGGCCCCTGGACCGGGATTTGAACCAAGGACTTGCTCGCTGAGAGGCAGCAGCTCTACCAGTTGCACCACCGTGCTAACGACTTGAAAACAATTAGATTAAATTTTGTCCTTAAATTTTAAAGGTTTGTCTTTCATTAAATTTAAAAACATAAATGTATTACTTATTAATCTAAAAAAGTTAAGTCTGGTCCTCTGGACATTCAAAAAACAAAACAAACAAACAAAAAAAACATTTAGTTTATTTATTATAAACTGTATTGTTTGTTTTGTGAATGTCCAGAGGACCAGACTTAACTTTTTAGATTTTTCTACCTGGATTATTGAGCAGCATCAGGATATTAATTAATAAATAGTCAGTTGGTCTGTGAACACCATGGGGTCCTAGAAGAGTTGAAGAGGAGGCTGTTGATGTCTGTGCCTCCCTGGTGAAGATGCTGCTCCCACAACCCTGAAGCAGAAGAGGATGGATGGATGGATGGATGGATGGATGGATGGACGGATGGATGGATGGATGGATGGATGGATGGATGGATGGATGGATGGATGGATGGATGGATGGATGGATGGATG